CCCCCCCCCCCCCCCCCCCCCCAATCACCAGCCCATACTCCTGCCCTCACAATATTTATTTCCTGCTCTGCAATGGAAGCTGTATAGTTTTCAAGTCTAGTGCTACAGCCCCCACCCCCACCATAACTGCATACCCTCTCACCCTCACCTTATTCCCGGCCCCAAATTGCATTAAAGGCATTCTTAAATTGTTTCTCCTTACCGAGGTCCATGGGATAGACCTGGATGTTGACGTCCAGGATGAGGTCCATCTTGAAGGACTCGGACTCGCAGTGAAGGCGGGACACTGGAACAGAAGAGAAAGAAACATTAAAGAGATGTCACACTAACCCTCTGTCACATTATTATGTGTGCTTGTAATACAGAGGATTAGATTACAAGATTACTTTTTAAAATGTGTTTTATGTAAATTTACAAGTAATAGAAAATATGTAAATATTCCTATATATATATATATATATTCAACTGACACCAGTGCAAGGAAAAAAAAGCTTGCCCAATGTGCTCCCGTCACTGTTTGCATACCACCTGTTAAAGAAATGTCCTTGATTCACATTTTACTGAAAATTGCACAACCTAACATTCATAAATAACTGCTCCACAATATTTTCAGCTGCAACATTCTAATCCTCACGATGTCCAATACTTTGCTTGCTTGGAAAATTGCATGGAATTTCAACCACCAGTACTAATGCTAGCCTTCCATTTCTGCATTCTCTTCATTTTTGGAAAAATAGTCTGTTACTTAGTCATTGAAAACTAGCAGTCTCCTCCATTGCGTCTTATTCTAAATGAAGTATCCACTATGACACCACATTTGGCTTGATAGAACTGCAAGCTAATCCCCTTCCCCCTCTCCTAGTTTTCAGCTTTTGCCTCCGTCCCATCTTTCCTTCACTCCTTGGTACCTGGATCTACACCCGCACCACTCCCTTACAACTGCCGCTTAAACATTTTAAAAAGAGACGCTAACTTTTTGCCTTTCTTAACTAGCAATTTCAAACTCTGGCCAATCAGGTGCCTGCATCCAGATGCTTGAATTTCATTCCTATGAGTCTTTTTCACAGGTCTGAATTATTTGATGAAGAATTTGATAATTCTCAACAAAGAAAAGGTTCTTGGGATCATTCGGAATGGCATTTTCAATATTAAGTTGTGTACATCAATGTTATATGCAGCACTTTAATGTCTGAGCTTCTTGAAAATAGCAGTAGTCCAATTATATTGATTTTACAAAGCAATACTAGAGTTCTATAACTACAGCATAACCCTTTAGATTACTAGTACTATTACTAGTACTTGAAATACTGCACACTGGATTTATATTTCTCTTAAAAATTAAAAAAAANTGTCTGAGCTTCTTGAAAATAGCAGTAGTCCAATTATATTGATTTTACAAAGCAATACTAGAGTTCTATAACTACAGCATAACCCTTTAGATTACTAGTACTATTACTAGTACTTGAAATACTGCATACTGGATTTATATTTCTCTTAAAAATTTAAAAAAAACAAAACAAAAAATAAAAAAATAGCAAGGATTTAGGTCTGTTTTAATATCAATCTTATTCCGTTAATATTTTTAAAAAGATTAGTTGTCAATAAATATGGTCATATTTATCACTATGAGTCATTGTATAGGTTGCTGTCAAAGTGTATGTGCACCAGACAGTGTGGGTGTGTGATTTAGTGTGTGTGTGTGTGTGTGCGTGCGTGCGTGCGTGCACACGAGCACATGCTGGGGTTTAGCTGTCATAATGTGAAGAGGGCCAGCAACTTTCGTCATGTCCCGGTAGACACAGAATTACTGTATGATACACAACAGCTATATACTAAACTATCCACAGATTATTTCAAATATTTGACAACTTTTGCTTAAGGTAGCATTTATTTGGTTCATTTCTTTGCTAAGGCAAGTACAACAAGATACTTGGCTACACAAAAAGTTATTAATCATTTGAGACCTGCTGTGACCACAGAGGCACATGATGTGTTGCTGTTGTGTCAGAGGTAGACTACCTTGTGATTAAAAATAAAGAAACTTGACCAGAGCACGGTGTCAATTTACAGGAAAAAGAACCACAAGTATGTACCTTAGCTTGCAGGGAGGACCCATCCCCAAATCTGAACATTTTTGGGGCTGAAGAAAGAAAATTTGTTTAACTCAACCTTACTTCAAAGGGGTGGGTTATGTCTGCTATTCATCATTCCATGTAATAAATGACACGGTTTCAATCAAAGGTATTTCTTTAATGATGCTGATATTAGGTCTCTCTCATTACTGACATACAAAAGTTGGCTTAATCATGGTAGATTTTTCTTTTAGGAATCTTTTTTTACTAATATCTGATACAGACCCTTATTACCACTAAATACTTTTACAAAATTCATCAGCTAATGGGCATGATTCAAATGTCAGTTCATTCCCAAAGGGTAAAATGTATTCTAGCCAAATGACTGTTGAACTTCAGCCAATCAAAATTTCAATTAAATTAATATGATATTTTCATTATTAAAATAATTACTAGTAAATTACAGTGATATAAAATAAATCAGAGGCCCTAAATTTGACAAACTGCTCATACTTTTTAAAGTACCTAAAATAAATTGAATCAAAAGCACGCAAACAAAGAATTTACTTTTCTTCTTCTACCTTTAAAGTTCAGGACATTAATTTCTCCAGGTAATGGCTTTATTTGGTCATGTTTTCTATGTGTACAGGATAAAGCTGTGCAACTGACACGGCAGTGAGGAAACCACAAAACTGGCATGTTATGTCATACTAAAGAACACTGCCAATGCAAGGAGGATTATGTAGGGATTAAGCAGCTTTAGAAAGTCAAAGATTTACACAATCTTTACACATTATAAACCATAAAAATACTGTTATTGCACTTCTTTAAAAAAACATTTGGACAAGTATAGATGTTGAGAAATCTAAAACAAATATTAACTTTTTATTGCACAAGTTATTTGCTTTTTCTTTCTTTTTTTCCTTTCTTTTATTTTTTAGATTCCTATCTACAATTAATCGCAATAATAATAACAACCAAAATCACGAGTACTAAGTCTGTATCAAAAAACATTAATAATGCTATCAGTATTGGTTGAGCAATAAATTGTGCTAAGACGGCACCTCTACCACACTCAGTGATTAGGGTGCCATGGACTGCACACCCCCAGCACTCCCTAAGGCTTCGTTCACATGCAATGTCTATTTTCTAAATTCTATTTTCTATTCGCGGTATGTCTTATGATCACGCTCTGTGCCCTTAATGTCCCGCGGCGTAATTACTGGCAGCGCGAGCCAGTTACTATAAGTTACTATAAGTAACTGGCTCGCGCTGCCAGTAATTACGCGGCGGGATATTCAGTGCACAGACTGTGATCATAAGATAGCGCGAATAGAAAATAGAATTTAGAAAATAGACATTGCATGTGAACGAACCCTAATTGAATTGCATCAAGTATTTGGCAGTCATTCATGTTTTCACATTACTTGCCAGATACTGATCGAATGCAGTGCTTCACGCCTAAGGGCAAGTTCAGAAATAAACTGCAATATAGCCTTAATGTAAACCTGCAAAACTCTCACAGGACTAAACTCCTTTGGCAGAAACTGAAATAGATAAAGAATATTTCCTTACATATGTTCTTTGACCTGTTTCAGAGAAGCATAAAGTGAGTCAATAATACCAAGAGACAATCTGTTGTTCAAGTTCACATGTACTAGCTTGAAGAAAATTAACCCACTTTTTTTCGAGACCATAATAGTGCTTGCGACAAATAAATCAATGTGCGTATTACTAATATTCCCTGACAGCATCATGCAGTGACACACACCATTCTGTAGACTGATATGATATATATATACAGCCACAAACAAACACAGATCACAAATAATTACTAACACAGAATATTTACCATATCACTGAAGCTACAGTGAAAGATATTCACAGAAATCCTTCAACATCAGATCATTGTTCATTTTTACACGATACAAATTTTCATTGCATTTCATTGCATTCTTTCTTGGATAAACAGAGAAGTTAGCTTACATATGCATGTACATGCAAATATATGTGTGTGAGTGAGATGTAGTTGAATGAGTGTTTGTATTGTTTTATGTTGAAATCTATCAAAAAATCTTTCATGCCTTATGCAATCAAACGAAAGAATTTCAAGATTTATTTTTCATCCTCCAAATGTTTACTTTAAAAATAGGTTAACATGTACTTCAAGAAAAGCCCCAATCTCACTTGGCAACTACGATACAATCTCTTTTCACTTTCTGTAAACACAGGGAATAATTTTACATCTTTAACAAAACATTTTCAAAAAGTTATCATGGCTTTCTTCTCTGTTTGAGAAATAACGAAATAGTAATGAACAAGTAATACGTACTCATAGAGCAATGATGAAATGGTACTAAAGAAATAATACTGATAAAGAGATCTGATGATATTTGGTTAACTGTCAAATAACAAAAGATGGCAAAATTTGAATAAAATAAAATAAAATAAAATAAAAAAGCCACGGAAGCCCAATAAAAACTACAATGTAAAAAGAATGCAAATGAATTCAATCTTCCAGCAAGACTGACCAGACTGTACTGGTGACTATGAACACTATTGGGAATGCTATCTCATTTCACCAGTTTAAACTTAATTTTTTCTCTCTGCTCCCCGATACTCCAGGCTGTGAATCATCAATATTTACAGTTCCACAAGTTTGCCTGTTCCAGTACAAATGGTATTAAGTGCATTCTAAGTGAATCAGGAACAAGTATAAATATAGCAACTCTACACTGGAAATGCTGTTCACTTAAATAACATCAGATCATCTGTTATTATTCATTCTCCACAGATGGGCTGGAAAAAATTACAAATTGGAAAATAAAAAGAAAATTTATATCCCTCTGTGCCACTGAAGAAGCTATCAAGTTACTTTTACTCCATTCTTGAATGGCAAAATAAATAAATAAAACATCTTATTGTTATTGAAGCAAACACAATATTTTCCTTTAAATCTGACAGTCCATTTCGCCACACTTTCCATTTTAAGTCTAATTCACCTGTACTTCCTCTATGAAAATACAAGTCTTAAACTGGGAAAATCCAAATGTATGCAACAATGAACAGAGCACAAACAATAACCAAATTCTCAGAATCCGACACATTTCTTACAATCACACATATTTCAGTACCTGTGGGATTTCCCCTTAATTTATCTTCCTAGATATTCAGTGTCAAATACACAGCACTGATTTTATTTTGTGTAAGCAAGATTTCTTTCCAGGACAAGGAGCCACGTGATGTGCTGACATAAGCAATAAAATACTTGTTTTAGTCAAAGGTTATGGGAACATCTGGCCCAGATCAAGCATAAACAACTACATACCTGGATGTCAATGGTGCCAAGAAAATGAAGCACTTGATAAACCAAAGAAAAGAAATTCTTGGAATTTCACATTAAAAGGCTACTTTCAATGTATCTCTTACTTTAGTTCAGTAATCAGGACATTCAAAAGAAAACACCCTAACATGTGCTGGTTTCGGCTATATGTATATCTAATCTAAAGCTTACCGTTTGCTTGAGAAAAATCACTAAAAAACACTAAATACTCAAATTTTATAAATCACATACCTGTGTCCGCCTCTCACACCTGTCATGCTGAACAGGACACTGTGACAGAGACTTTGTCATAATTTCTGTTCTTCTCAGACCACGCAGAGGAAATTAGAATCACAAAACACCTTCCACGTGGGATTGTTTTGATTCGGATAAGTCTCTGAAATTGCCATTTTACGCCCAAGAGACAAGGCAATTATCCTGTAGGTTTTCCCGTATGGCGTGTTAACTAAATCAGGCATGACATAACAGGTCTATTTACATGTAAACAAAGTTGTCAAAACAACACTGACGATCAACAACGCTGATCAGCTGACACTGGGTCGGGTCACACACCTTCCTGGCTTGACAAGGAAACAACGCCTTTATGACTCCTCAAAATGGATACCGTGATTTAAATACCATCAATCAGCAATGATTCACGACCGGTGTCTACCTATTGTTTGTGAGCGATGCCCTCACTCTATGCTTCGTCATAATTCTTGGCCTAGGTCCAACATTCGTTCAAAACACGTGGGCGCCATGTTGACACCGATTGAGAAATAAAATATTAAATTAAATATGTAAAAATGTCACAGATTGTATAATGGTTCTAAACGTGTTTAAGTTTAATTATAAATAATCAGTTATTCTTACCTCTGTCAAATTTCTTCCCTTCTGGATCAATATCTTTCACATCAAAAATATCCTCAAACAAAACACCCGCCATCTTGTTAGAAACTAGGTCACGTCCATTTTCGAATCACGTGAGCTCGAGATTCCGTAATCATTATTTTAGTACGCCGCAAGTGGGAAAGGGTAGTATCGAGTGATATTTTAAGTATCAAAGTACATTTTTTATAGATAATGACATGCAAATGATTTGCTATCTTTGGTATCTGACCTCTTGTAACGTGCAAACACGTTTTCGTGTAAATAATCACATGCATAAGGCCTTTTCAGTATCTAGAACGTATACGTACGAGTACCCCCTTAATTCCTCATTTCTGCCCCCTCTTTTCACAGTGATGAGGAAATGGTCAGATCATGAGGTGGAAAAAACGTAAGTGTGGTGTGCTAGGAGTTTGTGCGGCATTTTCCCAGATTTTAAATATTTGGCGGGAGTGATAAATACACATCAGTAGGGTGCATGGCGAGTTTGTTTAATTCGGTTTAAAATATTCAACCAATTTTGATAAATTCTGCATTATGGTAGACTATTGTGGTGTTCTGAAGTAGTTCTCAGTTATTTTTTTGTTCGTTCACCGCTAAAGGTGACAGTAAACCACACAGTAACCGCTTAATTTGGAATCTCTGCATCGTAGAGAGTTCTCATTCAAGACGCGACTTTCTTTTTACGCCAAGTTTTTACAACTCTTTCCGCTTTCATTTTTATAATGGTGAAGTTGGTGAAGGAATTTCTTCAATGCTCTGCGACCCAGGTCAGCCTGTTTGTCGCTTTTGGAAAGGAGCTTTGCCTGAATTAAACCCCCCTGCCCAATACCCTACATTACACATATCCCGCTTATTCCCCCACACCATGGCTACAGAGGGGGTCGATACGTTATGGAGGTCTACATTTAGCAAAATACCTTTTTTCTTGTTTATTTTGCTTTTCGATGTGAAATACTTATCTTGGCATTAGCACAATGAAAGCAACTTCAAGAGCACAAACTCATTATTTATTTTGTTGCAGTTATTGCTTTTTCACCACTTCACGCGCTATTACCCGTAGGATGACCCAGCGTTTATCGTCAGTTTTGCTGCTTTGTAAATTGGTATCTTTAAAATTGGCAGTTAAGCGACTATGGTGTGAACGACATTCTGGTGCCAACGCTTTTGGAAATATTCTTGTTAAGGATGCTATCTAAGCCTGCAATAAAGTTTATCTATTAATCAAAGGCATTATAATTTCGCCTCTGTATTGATAAAGTCAGGTTTAAGCCTTTCAGAAAAAGTTCCTAGCACTGGATTGAAGTATTCATTGTTGTCATAAAATAAGCGTTACTCGGTGTCGATAGCTGCTCGGGTGAGGGGGTAGGAGGGTCCGTCTGACTACGGTATTACAGTTGTTACAAAAAAATAAAAAAGCGCTGTTGTTACGTCATCAGCTTGAATAAACAATGTGCAACGATGAGTTTTTGATGCAACACCATTGTTTCATAACAAGACGATGTTTATTTCTGCATTATCTTATAAAATCCTAGGACGTACTCAGTCCCTTTAACCAAGTCCTACATGTACATGTACAGGTACGGTGGACTTGGCACTGAGACAAGGGTGATTTCAACTTTGATCTCATGTCCTCGTTTACGTTATAAGGTTCAGGACTAAATATTTACACCAGGTCATACTTTGTTGACAACATAAACTCTTCTAGGGCACCTGGCGATATTTTGAAGGGTTATCTTTGTAGCCTCTTCAAACATCACTTTGATACTGTTGCAGATATTTCTACAATTTTTTAAGCAATATTGAGTATGCGTAATGTTTTGCCGGAGATAAGACGAAAAATAAAATGAAGAACACGTTCAAAGAACAAGCCTTTATATGCATTTGTACATGTTACAGAGCTACGAGGGGTCTACTGGCACTTTTTCTTATCATGTTTGAATAAATCATGATACGTTTAACAAGACCTTGGTTCCTGACCTACTGACAACATTACCGATCAGCGATTTGGACGATTTATTATCTACAGGTATCTCAGCTGCCTACATACGACACTGACGTTTTAGCATTTTACGGCCGCAATGTCACCTTAAGCACCGAGTATCTTTGATGGGAAGGGTTCACACGACAATTTAAACACGAGGGTCGTGAGTATCTAGGGGGCCTCCATAGACCGTATCCAGCTGCCTATTGATAGGTCTATACTATGCCTGGCGACATGACTGCCAAATGCAACAGATCTTTGGGTGCTAGGGACTGAACCTCCGGGGACTCAATTAAGTATGGTAAAAATGAAATGGAATAATGGTGAAGACAGAACGCCGTCCACTTCTTCCAGCGTCTTGGATACCTCACTGCCTGTGTATAGGTAGGTCTAGTAACTCTGTGGAGGTTCAACGGTGTCTTTCATGTAGTCCAGTACCTGTCGTAACAGGAATGGTAGTCCGCTAGGAACCGTAGTCCGCTTCCCATTACTTTGTACAGGTGACATTCATCCCATATACTAACCCCAATACTCCAACTAACCCTTACTTGCACTAGTCATATGGGACCCCTGATTTCAATTCCTAGGACTACCATCCCTGTTACACCTGGACTGAAGACGGTTAATCAGTTCTTGTTTCAGTTATCTAATTAAGATTTAAATACCAACTTCATCTTTTCCGGCGCATCTTTTTGTTAGAAAGTGGTGGATATCAACTTTGAACAAAAAACGATTCCTCCAAGTTTACAACAGTGCCTGAGCTCGTTTATACAGGCAAAACAAATTATCAAGCAGTTACTCCGTTTAATACACTGGTTGAAGGTTTATATCTGGAGAAATCATGGTGTAGTTTAAATGTGGACTTAGCCCCCAGGCCTTTGATATTTTAAATTTAGAGAGTTTTTGAGATCGAGATTTGCTATCACTATGTGCCGTTAAATAATAATAATAACAACAACAATAACAACAATAATAATAATTGTTTTTATTGCATTTTAATGTGTATACAATGCAAGTGTTGGTTTAAAATCTGATAATTGCCGCCTTTTTGAATTTCATGCCTGTTCACATTGGAACTAGGCAAATATTTATATCAGAAGACAATTAATGTTCCAGTGTATTCATTTCAGCGTTAATCTCGAGTTTCCCACCCAGTGGTTCTTCTAGCCTTGAGATCCGGGCTCATCCCCTCCATCCATGTGTTGGTGACCACGTGACACTGACGTGCACGTGGTCCAGTCCTCTGAGACCGAGGCGGGACTCAACAGACGTCAAACCTACACTTAGCTTGATGTGGCTCTATAAGAGAGCTTTCCCTGTATTCGGGAGTAGAAGGGTTGGTACTGGAGCCCAACACTCAATAGCCAACATACAATTACACGAAGAAGGGGTTTACATATGTGCTGGTATCAACGGCAAAAAAGTCTCTCAAACCACGTATAATCTCGTATTAAATACAGAAGGAAATGGTAGCGAAGAGGTGCTACGTCACGAGTTACGTGGTGACGTATCAACCCATCCTATGACGTCAAACCTCAATAACCCTCTGTTGTCTCATATCAAACGTCGTGCGATCAACTACAAAAATATGTATGTATCTTTATCAACAATATATCCAAAGGGACCTTTTTCAATAACTCCTCCGCCCAACATTGACAGTTATACGAGATATGACTCACCAGAGACCAGCGGAAATCTTGAGAATCTACGTGAAGTTAGTATTTTATCTGGCAATAAAACCGGAGATCAGGAAACGACGCCAGGTAAGAAGTTTATTCACCTTTAAACACTGAGGATGTATTTCATTCCAAGAATATTTCTGTATAAATACATGTAGATTTCCAGTGGGGTTTGTAATAATTGAAAGTACCTTTAGAAAAATATATCTTTCCCTGAATTTCTTTGCACGTTTATTGAGTTTTTGCTTTGTATATGATCATGCAGTAAGTTTTTAGTCAACTCAAAAAAAAAAAAAAAAAAAAAAAAAAGCGCCGTTCGAGTCCATGGAAACGCTGATAAAAGGGGCGAGTTTTGGTCAACCACTAAATATAAGGCCGAAGAAGGTATCCTACTTAAGATGTGATCTATGTTATTTCCCTTCCAGCGGGAGGTGACCACAGTGACAAGGCTCTCTACCTGGGGATAGGGTTTGCCTCCGTGGGCACCCTAGCCATACTGGCTATGATTATAGTTTTAATAAAGGTAACAAGTACTGCAACGTTTTGGAACTTTTTAAAGTAAAAACAATATTTCCTTGATTTGTATTTTATACTTTTTCAGTCGCCATAATGCGAAATCTGATAACTAATTTGAATAAAGGAAAAACCAACAAAAACACGAGTTTATTTTGTACATGTTTGCAGGAAAGATTCAAAGCATTTCATATTACTGCCACGCAACTTTTCTTTTGACTAACGACGCATGTGAGTTGCTTCGATTTCTCTCTACTTTTCCCTTTCATATTTCAGTGCGACAGTTCCAAAATCTATATATGCGACGCCTGCAATAAAAGTCTCCCAGCTATCGGCTGTTTAAAACCCCAACCCAAGAAACGCGGTAGCATTCGTTACAACACCAGGCAGGTTTCGATAGATCCCTCGACGGTTAGTGAGCCGCAGCCGGTTGAATTCTACCTTGAAACTAGGTCTCGCCATGGCAGCAACGCCACAGAGGCAGCTCTCCTTTATTACAGAAGACAGTCGTCTGACGTCACGTCTGTGACGTCACCGACTACAGCTGACGTCACGTGTCGCAAACAGGGAAAGGGACCGATGCTTTCTCTACTTGATGTTAAGGAATGTGAGGAAATAGTGTGATTGTTACGTGTATCTATACATATTCAATATTCTCATGTAATTTTTGATACGCATGGCTACGTGCTGATCTCATTCAAGGCTAGCACTGACGGTGGAAAGTTTTTTTTCTACGTCTCCACCTATTAACTTTAAATAAAACCAACCAGTAGAGCTTTCGAAACGGGCAGTACTTAAGACCTCTTAGTTATAAACGAAACATTTTAGAATAGTGAGGCGATATATTATTACTTGTTTCCAAGCTTTGTTTAGTCATTCGTGTGCGTTCATTTTTGCTTCCTGTTAAACACCGACTGTAGTGACGTAAAATGAAGGGGTGTGAAACGCTGAACAATAACGGCGTTAATATTTTGGACGATAATTTTAATACTGTAATGAAAAATACATAAAAAAGTGACACCTTGGTTTTTGACATTTATATACATGTAAGTATCAACCAGAATCACAGAAATGAAAAAAAAAACAAAAACATTAAACATTGATGACGACGGGCTGATTCACATGTAGATTTTGGTCGGTTTATGACGGAACATACGTTACAACAAAACCTCTTCGGCTTTAAGATGTTCCGAACAAATATAATTTACAACATGACATAGAAAAGTGTTAACTGCAAATTTTACAAGTGGTGGGAATATATTAACCATAAATTGATCAAAAAGTTATGTTAAGTCATGTTTTGATTAATACGCTGAAACAAATGCTTAATACTGGACCCGTCGCACGATACACCTGATGTGCGTGCATCATACATTGTGTAGAATCGGACTGTACGTAGAAGACAATATTGTAATGGCAGAATACTTCGTGTTGATAAATATTTAAATTTATATCGATGAAAAGTATTAAGACAATTTAAATTCGACGAAAGCTAATTTTACTGTTTGTTCTTTTTACGCAACTTTGCCATCTTTTTCTTTCGCTGGCTCTTTTTACGTCAAACGTGCAGTTGTGCGCAGACAAAAAAAAGTAAAAAACAATAATACTATCGTACAACAATTAAATATTAAACACTTTAAACAGAAAACAGACAACAGCCACATAAAGTACATTTGTATGCATACGGAGAGACATTATGCAGGCCTACGCTTACGACAGAAACCATTTCAACCGCACGTGTAACTTTCTCTTTGGTCGAGAAACAAGGGGATGACCCAAAATACTCTAGTACCGAAATGGATTATAAGCATAGCAGGTAGAATAACGGTTCGATTGAATGATGATATTATTACCCGGTATATTCTGTTCTCAGTGTATTTGGTCCAACACTACGACGAAAAAAGTGAGTAGTTAAAGGTATACAGCCATAGTTGACTAGAACATTACGTACAGTAGAATGTCCTATTATATTATATGTGGAGCCACGCCTAAAAAATATACAATATTATAAATGTGACCTCTTTCTGACTATCAAAGTTAAAATAGAGTCATTATTTGACTAAAACTAGGATAGAAGATAATTTAGGTCCTAGACTAAAACGTGCGTGATTTTTTCATAACATTTATGACCTAAACGACGCTTATTTTGTCTAAATTGTCTAAGTGATTTGCGGCTTTACGATTCAAATGAGGACTTCTATGAGGACTTCTCTGAGGACTTCCTCTTCCAGCGTTCATTTCGGTGTCTAGATGGAGTCTGTGTAGGCTGTCCCTGCTGTGGCAGTGGGTGGAGTGAACAGGAACGTTTTCGGGGATGCATCTCCACATGCGCAGAAGTTCACATCGGAACCGCTTCCCGCTTACGCAGTACAACAAAAAATTGATAGAATGGTTGATATAGGTCAATAACAACACGACTGTAGAAACCAGTTTCTGGACAGCTTGTTCCTTCGGCGTTGCTATATTTGCATTCCAATATGGCTCTACAATCAAATTGATAAAACTCGGACTCGCTAATAAAAGAAAACTGAACGTCACTACGAGAAGCATAATGGTGGTAGACTTCGACCGGAAGTCTTTGTGGTTGTTGGAATCTTTGCTCTCCCTGTGTTTTCTGATAATGTCCTCAATGATATGTGACGGTCTCCGAGATCCCGTGGGGGTATGGGCGGGAGAGAGGCCGTTAGGCGGAGAATGACACCCTCCCCCTGTAGGTAACAACTTATTTCTGTTACATTCCTTCGCACCATTGAGGGACTTGGACAAGATTTCCTCCACTTTGCGTTCCAACGCAGGTGACTGGTCCCTCGTCACCCGCGTTAAAAGAGGCGTTTGCTTCGGAGACAGGGAATTTTTACGTGATCCACTAGTAGATGTGAAATAATAGCTTTTGCTGCAAGTACCTGGGGTTTTGATGACTGGCCTACAAGCAACACCCTGAAATTTGGAAGACTTCTGCAACGCTCTTATAATTAATATATTCAAAATCATCATAAACGTGAATGGCCCCCCAGCGTAGACGCAAAACACCACCCAAGGCAAGACTTTCTTCCAAAAATAAAAGTATTCAGAATCGCAGAAGTGGTTACACAAGAGTTGTTGTTTGTTGTTATAGTTCAACGTCACGGTCCAGAAGACGTGCAAATTCTTCGCCACGGCACATCCGATTGTCACCGCTAACGCAATTTTGGCTCGCTTGGTTGTGCAGTAGCGGTGAGACTTGAAAATGTGGCAAGTTGAAATGTACCTTCCAACCGTCAAACCAACCAATAGCCACGCTGATAAATCTAAGAATGTATATAAAGTAAAGCGTTGTAGTTTACAGACAGCGTCATGTAAGTTCCTGATGTCGTAACCGCCGTCGTAAACCCTGATCATATGTCGTGATAGTCCTAGCCACAGGGCGACTGTATCCGAGACCGCTAAAGCTCGCAAAAAGAAACCCGTCCAAGTCCTTAACATGAAAGGTCTCCGTAAAACAAAAAATGATGTGACATTTCCTATTGTTCCCAGAATTAGCAATATTGGCGGAACGACCTTATTCAGCCACTGGCTGGTCTGGTACTCTATGTGGTTGTCATAAGGACCAATAGGTCTGTAGATATATTGTGAGTAACAGCTATACTCTTCCCGTGTGTCGTTTATGTAGAAGCTAATATTTTCCATTTTGAGGTGGCTCAGTGTGACATAATATCTATATTTTCTTGTGAGCCATAGATTGTTCACTGTTTGATCTCTTTGGTGAACTGTCTTGGTTGGTTTCACTTTGATTTATGCCGTCTATCTAATGAAGCACTGCTTTTTATATCTCCTACAATGGTACGGCGTTACTGTTTCTATACATTTATAACTCTTCCTGAATATTTAATGTATCGCCTCTTATTCTTAACCTACCAAACGTGGGCTTGGTTAACTAGAAAGGCCTATTGGTAGTCGTTGTTCCCAGTTCTTATATATGAATCACTGACACGTCTTCACGAAGTACTGGAATATCCAATGCTTTATATATATATGATATATGATAAACGTTGTCTGTCATACTGCTGTGACGTGTAGTGACGTCACTGTTGCTACCTCCACGTTCCCAAGAGCTCCCAAGAGTCATGCGTGTAATCCATTTGAAATACATAGGCGACCAGTTTGAAGGTGCGACAATACATCCAACACCATACTGTACATCTATAGCACCTATTTTACGATAATGACTTCGTAGTAAACTGTCCTGCTGGTGTTTTCCAAGATATGAAAATGTGAACGTTGAGACGGCAGGTTCGGTTATAACTGTTTGGCAAAACTTTCTTGTACTATTCCATTGGACAGCTTTCTGAGCTGTACTTTGCAGTCACTTTTCTGAATTCTTCTTCTAAATTCTGATGATTTTTCTGGAAAGAAACGAAGTTCATACTATCATGGACAATCTGTTAATATGAATATATGAAACTATATTATGCACAGAGGTAAAAAAGAAAAAAAAAAGAGGAAAGAGATGATACATCGCTATGACAAAGACATGTTAACATGATAGTTGCACAGTGTTATAGGCCTGGCTTCTGCTTACAAAAATGATGAATGATGACGTTTGTCTCATTGCCAGTAATGTCGGCCAAGTTGATCAAATCCGCTTCTCTGGCCATTACAGCATGTGTCAGCCATGTTATCATGAGTTTGAAAGAGTTTAATGTATTAAATTTCTTTCAACACACAATTCAAAATTATGTTTTTTTTTAAACATCAAATATGAAGTCACCCTTATCATCACCGACTTCAATGTAATGAAATGTAGGACTTAGGGTGATAGTGCATATTATTTAACAGTAGATTAAATCATTGCGCGTGGCAACATAAAAGTTTCTCCATAAATGTCTCGGACGCACTCAATCTGGGGAACTGTTACTGACTATAAGATAGACGACCGCCCGCCGAGAGAGTTCTATATATACCCGAAATACCACATATCTAGTCAAACGTTTCTAGATTTCGTTTGTCTTTAGGTAATTAGGTTCTTAGAAATACCAAACTTCCTGGATTTGCTGACACCTGAGAACTATGTCAGGTGTGGGCGCTGGAACATTATCAACGCTGATCGAGGTATTTAGGGTTGTAGGAAGATTGCTGGGTGTCTCCACTAAACATTTATTACCGTTACTCCTGTAGTAAATATATTATTAAAAAGCTTTGAGCAGTGGCTTATAAATCCCCGCTCAAGTTTCATGAAAGTTACCGACACATTCAGTTTTATTCAATTCAAGTCAGTCAACAGACTCAGCAAACACTGAATGTAAATATAACGTTACAATAACGTTTAAATAACCAAAAAGCGTTTCGGTAACGTTATTAATGGTAAAACAGTTTCTCTTCATGTTGTGTTATTCACAATACAGTTTATTTTCAACTAAATTACCGAAGAATCTTGCTATTATCTAAGTATGTCTGACTGCACCCATGCGCAGACATCTGCTCGTCTAACTAAAATATATGAATAACTTTGCTATTTTAATGTTTCTGTTTCTGGCGACACGACATCGGTCAATATTCCCCTTTATCAGACCTCAAGTTCACAAATCTTAGAGCAAAGTCGACGCTAACCTAACTTCTAATTTAAAGTAAAATCGGATTTATTTCATTACAATACAGCTGGCGTTTTAGATTTTGATGTTAGTGAAATATGCTTGACAGCATTCTTTTTGCAACACCAAGGATGCTTTTAAAACGGAAAACCGTCTGGCAAATACAAACATTTGGCAGGCTACTGCGCATGACATATACTAATCACTTTTTGTGTACCTGCATTTAACGTTCTCATTAGTCTCGTTTTGTATACGCAAGACGCTTGGACCAACATTAAAAATCAATCAATCCAAACCACCCACCCAAAAACACTAGATCAGACCATTTAGTAAGTGTCTCTATGTATAGTTAATATTGACGGTTCCTAAACTGGTGCCAGCATTTACCATTAACAAACACCACTAATGATATTGCAATAAGATACCTGTTTAACAGTGTTTCTTGCCGGCGTTTACGAAGGTGATATGCCATCTGGATATGTCTGATCGCGATAACCAAACCTTTGCCTGAGCACCTGCAGCGTCCTGTCGCCCTTGTGCATTACAGGTACTCAGACATAACTATCTTGCAGCCTTAACAGAGCCTCTCTGGCTATTACGTAGATGACCCGATAAATAAAAACCAGTCAAGAAATAACGACAGCTTTGTTACTGAAAATAAAGCAAGAACCGCAATGTGCCAAATGTATCTGCAGCTGACTGTATCCATATTTTTGCAACCAAATTGATAGTATATATTTCTGTATGTGTGTTCTGCTCGCTAATTGTATTGTATACATACATTAATAANTGATACATCGCTATGACAAAGACATGTTGACATGATAGTTGCACAGTGTTATAGGCCTGGCTTCTGCTTACAAAAATGATGAATGATGACGTTTGTCTCATTACCAGTAATGTCGGCCAAGTTGATCAAATCCGCTTCTCTGGCCATTACAGCATGTGTCAGCCATGTTATCATGAGTTTGAAAGAGTTTAATGTATTAAATTTCTTTCAACACACAATTCAAAATTATGTTTTTTTTTAAACATCAAATATGAAGTCACCCTTATCATCACCGACTTCAATGTAATGGAATGTAGGACTTAGGGTGATAGTGCATATTATTTAACAGTAGATTAAATCATTGCGCGTGGCAACATAAAAGTTTCTCCATAAATGTCTCGGACGCACTCAATCTGGGGAACTGTTACTGACTATAAGATAGACGACCGCCCGCCGAGAGAGTTCTATATATACCCGAAATACCACATATCTAGTCAAACGTTTCTAGATTTCGTTTGTCTTTAGGTAATTAGGTTCTTAGAAATACCAAACTTCCTGGATTTGCTGACACCTGAGAACTATGTCAGGTGTGGGCGCTGGAACATTATCAACGCTGATCGAGGTATTTAGGGTTGTAGGAAGATTGCTGGGTGTCTCCACTAAACATTTATTACCGTTACTCCTGTAGTAAATATATTATTAAAAAGCTTTGAGCAGTGGCTTATAAATCCCCGCTCAAGTTTCATGAAAGTTACCGACACATTCAGTTTTATTCAATTCAAGTCAGTCAACAGACTCAGCAAACACTGAATGTAAATATAACGTTACAATAACGTTTAAATAACCAAAAAGCGTTTCGGTAACGTTATTAATGGTAAAACAGTTTCTTTTCATGTTGTGTTATTCACAATACAGTTTATTTTCAACTAAATTACCGAAGAATCTTGCTATTATCTAAGTATGTCTGACTGCACCCATGCGCAGACATCTGCTCGTCTAACTAAAATATATGAATAACTTTGCTATTTTAATGTTTCTGTTTCTGGCGACACGACATCGGTCAATATTCCCCTTTATCAGACCTCAAGTTCACAAATCTTAGAGCAAAGTCGACGCTAACCTAACTTCTAATTTAAAGTAAAATCGGATTTATTTCATTACAATACAGCTGGCGTTTTAGATTTTGATGTTAGTGAAATATGCTTGACAGCATTCTTTTTGCAACACCAAGGATGCTTTTAAAACGGAAAACCGTCTGGCAAATACAAACATTTGGCAGGCTACTGCGCATGACATATACTAATCACTTTTTGTGTACCTGCATTTAACGTTCTCATTAGTCTCGTTTTGTATACGCAAGACGCTTGGACCAACATTAAAAATCAATCAATCCAAACCACCCACCCAAAAACACTAGATCAGACCATTTAGTAAGTGTCTCTATGTATAGTTAATATTGACGGTTCCTAAACTGGTGCCAGCATTTACCATTAACAAACACCACTAATGATATTGCAATAAGATACCTGTTTAACAGTGTTTCTTGCCGGCGTTTACGAAGGTGATATGCCATCTGGATATGTCTGATCGCGATAACCAAACCTTTGCCTGAGCACCTGCAGCGTCCTGTCGCCCTTGTGCATTACAGGTACTCAGACATAACTATCTTGCAGCCTTAACAGAGCCTCTCTGGCTATTACGTAGATGACCCGATAAATAAAAACCAGTCAAGAAATAACGACAGCTTTGTTACTGAAAATAAAGCAAGAACCGCAATGTGCCAAATGTATCTGCAGCTGACTGTATCCATATTTTTGCAACCAAATTGATAGTATATATTTCTGTATGTGTGTTCTGCTCGCTAATTGTATTGTATACATACATTAATAATGAAATTCTACTACTTATACATCTTCAATGGGACTTAGTTCTTTCTTTTCTATGTTGGTTCCCTCTATAATGTCCCTCAACATGTTTTACAAATTAATCGAAACGTGTAAGTTAGATGTGATAGGAAATAATGGATTGTGAAATAGTCTCCCACTAATGGTATTACCTAATGGTAAGTAACTGACAAGCCTTATGACTTAGTCATCATGTTTTGTTATCTACGTTTTTTTTTCTGCTGGCAATAGTGGCATGAACACCAAGCTAGTATTCATCCACATGATGGCGTGAGAGGGAAAACGCAAAACCTATTACAGAAATGAATTGCACTGTACACTCGAGATATTCGTCTGGTCGCTATACTCGAAAATATAATGAAGTATGCAATCGGCAAACATGGACACATTTAGGCAGCTTTTGTAAACGTAAATATCGTGCTATTATCATCATCGCACATCGTTCCTCGATCTTAATGTACATCTAATACATGAGGATATCAAATACTACACATTGATATCAGTTGACAAATGTTCATCTATTCAGTGGTAAGGTGGACACATGTGATAACCCGTCCATACCAGAATACATCGTCCGTAAATTTGTTAATTGTGTCAATTAATCTTTATTAACTTAATGTTCAGCGATGTTTTGAATGGACGCTGATGTTTTAAATGGATGGATGTATTCCATTAGCGTGCAGGGCATTGGCGCACTTAAAACAACCGTGAAGGATTGACTGACAGTGACGTAATGACCATATAGTGCACATCATTTATAAATGAAGTAATTTTGACAAAATGTCAACTATTTGTGAGTAAATGCAGCTTATTGTGATGATCCGAACAGAATATGGAACAATTACCCAAATAATAATATTAAGACGTAAGGCACCTACAAATGGGCACCGATCATCAAAGTTAATTTTGCATATCAGGGGAATAATTGAAATAGTGCCCAAAACTATGCCTCGTTTCCTTGAGTCGTTTTACCCCCATTTTACCGTCACATTACACCATTCTCATGCCATCCTCACGCGACAAATACGCCATCCTCACACCACATAACGCCATCCTCACACCACATTACGCCATCCTCACGCCACATTACGCCATCCTCACGCCACATTACGTCATCCTCACGCCACATTACGCCATCCTCACGCCAATTACGCCATCCTCACGCCACATTACGCCCGCGATATCCTCGTGATGATGCTTTGCCAGAAATCATCACAATAGAAAAGTGTGCACGAAATCATCTATACTGTTATTGATGCGATTAATATTATCAACAAAGAAGGTATTTTTTCCTTCCAGCATTTTGTCATATATCAAACCACTACCTGTCAAATTGAAGGGTGTTGCTAGCAAGCAAGCACGCAAGCAATAAACAACAATAACAACAGCACAAAAAATAATAATAAAACAAAATGTGTCACGAATAGCCCAAACGTTCACGAGATACCGTCTATAACAAAAACTTGGAACCAAATAACACAAAGAGAAGAGCAACATTGAACACCAAGCGGGGGTTAACCAAACCATAAATCATAATTGCCAGAAACTATCCATTAAGCAGTAATATTCTGAAAAGCACTAATATGAATAAAACGGTCCACAGAGAGTCGCAATTTTACACATTATAGTTTAAATTCCCTACTAATTGTCTATATCGTAATGTCATGCTATAAATCTGTTGTGCAACGGCGTTATTAGAAATTGCAAATACGAAAAGACGGAAAATAAAGTTGAATGCAGCTATGGTAGAGTAATAATATGGTGATAATGCTTAAAAAATAGAAAATGGGTTTATCACACCGCTATCATGAATTTCTTTACCTAAAATTTTGAACTGTAACTCAGTGGCCGTATGTAAACACAAACCTTTCCGGGTACAGAAACATATACCGTGATAAACAACCTACCTTAGGCACACCGGTCCTACTCGTTAATGAACTGTTAGAAACTCATCAAAAGACGCATCTTGCATAGCGAATAACTAAAGCAAGGTGATTTCTACGGCACACTATTCACAACCCGACCAAAACCGCTCTGTCCGGTAAGAATTTCAAGGCATCAATCTGAACCCTTGATTCTGATAATTCAACACTAGAGGGCGTTCAACGAAGGTGAGGCTACCGGAGACATATTGTTTTACAAGCTTTCGCTAATGGTATAATCTCAATTGTACACTAAGTTATTGTTTCCTATCAGTATGTCTGTTGGGTCGATAGCGCAGCTTTGTACGTTCCCCCAATAAAACCTGACTGGATGTACGCTAAAAATGCCTCAGAGGTTCTGAAACGGAACACATCTTTTTCCAGAAACAGCCGCGCCCTTTGGAGACAAACATTGATCTCCTCTCTGCCTGCCCACAAGTCGTATTGACTTCGGAAATGGTTAAGTAGAGGCCCAGTCAGCCCGGGAGACATGAGTTTCTGTCTGGAAGAACACATTTAATCAACTACTTGGTCAGCCATCAGTGGCCGGGGGAAAGTATGAGATTCTGCCGTGCTTCAGAAACCTATCTAAAATAGAAAAAATGTCTTTTCTCATGGTTGAGTATTTTAGTATCTCTTAATTTGGTCAATCACTTACGGTCCTCGTTTCACAAGCACTACATCCCTGTTACATAGCACAACCAATTCAAAAACTGCTTCTTTTTTTCCTCCTAGTTTATGTTTCACATCACCATGGGCAGTTTTCCACACATAAAAGGCACCAACTCTATGTCACCACTGCCACCGTGGGTTTCAAAATTAACAGGAAACTCACTTCAATCTGGAAACTAGGGGTACACAATGACCAGTAACAAACCAATAAGTCTGTGGAGACCACATCCCACCCCCACCCCCACCCCCAGCAGTTGGCGTGACAGGCTGGGATGGATGGATGGATTTACATCAAAAACTGATTAGACGAGTAAAAGGACACGTTATCCCCAAACGTGTGTTTTGCTGTACAAGGTAGTCAAGTGGGCAATCCTGGTTTCAGAATACACCCTCACCGTGAAGCCGACACCTGCTTAATCAGCAGCGTTCTATTTTATCACAACTAATCGCCCTTAATGCATGTTAACGGTCGTCCATCACCAAGTCTGTTGTTTTCATTAATTATTCAATGGACCAAATGGTTAGAGAAAGAACTATTTGCAAAAAGGAAGCGTTCACCCCTATCAAAATGGTAGAATGATTAGAAAAGTTGAATTTCCTAAATTGTTCATTTGAATAAAACATTAATGAACTCGGTCTGGTTTTTGTGCATGCTTTTATTGAAATATACAGTATACTTCAATGTCTTTTCGTTCTGTGGGTCTTAAATAATTGAAAATAGCTTTTCATCTGTGGATGCATGGTGACGTTGTGGCGTAATTTACTGTCAAGGAAATTAAATAGTTGTACAAGTTGATTCATCAAGGTATAGATCAAAGAACAGCCTGTCGTACTCATATCGACCAACAGCTTCAAGGCGCATTTCCATTTGAGTTGTGTCGGTATAGTACACAAAAATATTATGATGTATTACCATAGTACTAGGATGACAATTATATTTAGTTAGATTCGCATCCTATTGGTCAGAAATCACATTCCCACGGTCTGTTGCAATAGCACTAAGTGAACCCGGAACAGCTGGACTAGAAACGCAGCCTCAAAGCTTTGAACTGTTCCTTGCAGGTTCAGGTTGAAGCATGCAGGGCGAAGATTTTTTACCAAAAGATGTGCAATGAAGAGTGGCTAACGAAAATGCAAAACATGCGATTGCTAAACCATTATTTTCTTTGATCTTGGCGTATAAGGGCACTGGCTACTGCAAAAATATGCGACTTTCCTGTGCAAAATTTGCGGTACAGGTAGATAAGGTGAAACATTTATTTCCATCCAGCCTGAATTTATCGGTCTCCATCTCCCTTTTTAATAGTGATGGGACGCCAGGGCATTAAATATAGCACTTATTTCCTAATTACCAGAGTTTATTTTAAGTTTTCCCCTTCGTAACATCAAACCCTTTACACCTGCCAGATTTGGGATAAAGATCCGGTTCCACTTCTATTGCCGCCATGAGTGTTTTATATTAACGCTAAATACCGTGTTATTGGAGCATCTTGATGTATTGCTGCTCAATAAAAAAAAATATGTCCCAATGATTCTACTGTATTTTGTGTAAACTCGGTTGTTAACTGACTGATAAAAACCAACAAAACACAAACGGAATCCATATTCTAGAGAAATGTGAAGACTGCGCAAATTTGTTGCAGGTATTAATATAAATTTATCTTGTTTGAATTTAGTGGTTTTTTTGTTTTGACTTCCATATGCAATAGACTCCACGTTTCTGAATGAGTAGAAACTAGAATCATATGCAGTTCTGGTGCCTCAATGTTTCCACAACCTTTCAAATTTTTGCTGGTGATTAACAAACAATCTAAAACATCAACTTGTTGGAGTGCGCTTCAACTTATGAAAATATAACATCTACGACACACATATCCAAAACTACACACACCAAAAGCTACGATTTTTCGCGAGGAGTTGCCTGATTTTTGAACCCCCTCCCCTCATTGTCCGTGTTCTCCGTTAATTCAAAGCAACGATAACCATTTTCAAGCTCCATAAATATAGATATATATCTTTTCAAAATTCAACATTCAACATTATAACCTTATCTCTTACCTTTTTTTCCCTCAACAAGTAACTCCCGACATGTTATTTTCCTAAATTTTGCTATATTCAAATCGTGTCCCGTATACGTTCGTCAAACTTATATCTATTTCTCTCTGTTTCCCTGCAGACATCTCCGCTCCTTGAAATGAATTACTCAGAAAATTCCTCCTTTGTCCCTGGAACACAGAGTGAGATTAAGTTTCTGAGGACAGGCGGGAAACGCGGCGCGTGGTGTCGGGGAGGAGAGGTAAACAGGTGAGTAGTCCAGTTAACAGCCACGTCATCCTCCAACGCACAGACACTACCGTACTCGCTGAAACAGGGTTGCCGATTCTTGAAAACCATACTCAGAATTTTCAATATTTTTATAGTCGGAGATGGCAGGATTTTTGAAAACATTTGTACGCAAATGTTAACTTATTTGTCAGGAATGAGACCCTACCTCCCCACGTCCCCGCCCTCATCCCGAGTTCAGCATTTATTCCCATAGACTAATTGACTAGCACCATGCTTCAGCTGATATAGTCAAAAATAGTCACAGTCTCAGATGGCTATTATCTATGTAACTTCCCGTTTGAAAGCTCTCTAGATATCACAAACAACTTCATTGAAAGGTGGTCACCCGCTATTAAAGCTACGGGAGACATGTGATAACTGCCGCAGACCGTTAACTAACTCCTTCATATACCGTATTTATCAACCAAATCATGTTCCTGGACAAGAACGCTGACCTGTTTATTGTTGTTTTTCCTTCCTCCTCAGGATAACACTCTTTTTATTAATATCAGTTCTACTTTGTTAGCAAAATGATTAATATATAATTTCTGACCCGTTAAATTTGAGTATTTTTACTATTTTTTTAGTTATATTTGTTCTAAGAAAATGTAATTGTTCCTTAGGTAACATTGAGTAAGTCTAACATCATACATCAACCCGCAGTGAACCAGTACGTAATGTGTATAACACTAGTACTGCAGACCTTCTCTACCTATTCCACTAAGCCAATACAGAAGAAATCTCAGCCGTTTTCGACAACGATCAACTTCTTAATGAAGATTTTAACAGCTGCAACGACCCTCGTTTAAAGCTAGGACTTTAAATTTGTCCATAAATCAGGGATATTGTTGCTATGGTGGCCGGAAATATAGAAACCCCCTGCACCAAAAAGAAAAAAAAGAAATAAAAGAAAAATAATCCAATACATTTACAAATAAAAATACCATTTCTATGATAAAGATTTAGCTGTTTATTCACACACGTCTTAATAAAACCTGAAGGACGAACCTCGTGTATTCAACCTTATTACTTCGATAAAATTCAGTTTCATTAATCACCGTATATTATCAGAAGCAGGTAGAAGCCTTAACATTGCAGACAGATGCAGGCGTGTGGAAAATTGAATTACAAAATTGACAGAGTAATTAAATTCAGCATCACGTTATACTGCAATTAGCTGACAGGTGCGTGGAGAGAAGGCGAGAGAGAGAGAGAGAGAGAGAGAGGCGAAGCAGACACTAAAGAAAAGTACTTCCTTCAACGTCAAGACACTGAGAATGCCATCCCCAGGGTACTGACGCAGACCCTGGGGGTGGTGACACCCTTGAACGAATTCCCAGCACAAATGAGACTCGAATAGCTTCTTGTCGGATGGCATCTACGTAAGTGACTATTCAGTCAAATAAACAAAAGGTTTATTTTGAATGATATGTGATATTTTGGCCCACGCAAAAATCTCAGTTTTACTCCGTTATCAGTTTTGTCAATTCCGGAACCCCTCCACCCCCATCCCAACACCCACCTTTTCATTTTATCTAACGAGGTCATACCTGATACTTTTACCAATAAGCCACTGCTAATTATCAATTGTGTATTATATATTATGATGTAAAAATAATCAGATGAGCCTTCAGCAGCAGTCAAATTGATCTAGTGCCAATGGCTGTAGTAGGCGCATTAATACTAATGAAAATGTTACAGCATAAGTCGTCAGTGGATTGTTACTGTAATACGTCAGTATAGCTAGTGCCAGGTCATAGTCTTTGGGGCCATTCAAAATAGGGGACTAACTAGTCCGAGGGTCAACTATGGCCGACCCACTTGAATACTCCCCAACTGGATATCTATTCAGTGTCTATTAGCGGATTAGACGGCAAGCTTTGTAGTGGGTCGCCATATTTGACCCTCGGACTAGTAACTCTCCTATTCTGAATGGGGCCTTTGTACAAAGGAATAAAACCTGTGACACAGAGTCAATTCTATCGCAGGAAACATTTATGCAGTAAAATACGGTATAAAAAATGGAAGCTCTTGATAAAACCAATCAGTTTAAGTTTCACCACATTGCATTTTCATCAAGAACGCTACGCCCTCACTTATGTCGCCCATTTGATTAAATCTACCATTCAATTTCAGCAGTTATCAGTGTAATCAACAAACCGCCGCACTACTACATGACAGCTAGCAGCGAGGGGTTTTTATTGCTAGTGTATTTGATGATTTCAGCTGGTAGAAGTGGTAGAACGAGGAGATAAGACTCCTGGGAATATAGCAGATATATGAACTCAGCATTACATTATTACTGGGCAGGTACAGTTGTAAAGGAGAGGGCTGAATATCTGCTACCTGGAGTTGAAGATCAGAAAATTTGACCGATATGTACTAAGTTGTTTGCCTTCACCAATGCGGACAGAACAGTTGACATTTGATTTTATCTCTCATCCCTCCACCCCTCTCTTTCTTATCCCCCCCTCTCTATGTTGTGAGAGAGAGAGAGAGAGAGAGAGAGAGAGCAACAAAAGCTAATTGTGGTATGGCCACATTAATGTGCTAATAATTTAAGCCACATTTCATCACAGATGATAATGATAACTGGTTACTTAGATTACTCCCTCATTAAATTACAAATATTGAGAGGCGTGTGAGAAAAATGGTCAGGTTTTATAACTTCAGAGTCAACTTTCTCCCTCAGTGAGCATTTATTGTCTGGACTTAACGTAGCAGTGAAATAGAAGCACGCTGTTAACGATTGTATTCTCTGCAAATGCGTGCTAGAAGTATAATAACAGACACCGGGATTGTTTTGATGTACAGGAACGTGGGACCCTTTACCAGGGTCATACATTGATTTTTCACTAGATATTCACAGATATGTCTCTGGCTAGTTCTTGACACAATTCTTAACTGTGTTGGAGAAAAGTGCACATAATTAACCTGCGGCCCTGGTACATGTGTAGAGGGCAGGTGCCTCTATAAAACAATACTTGGATTGCGCAACAATGCAACACGAAGGCGAGTCAGTGAGATTGACAAAATGCACAAAGTATTGAAAGTAAGACGTTATTTATCTGTCCAAAGTCACCACTAAATCAACAGACAGTAAAGATCAATAGAAATATTAATAACATTCTACCATAAATTACCCTTACATCGTTTATTTTGAATATTGAAACATAAATTTTCTATGGGGGAGTTTTGTGTTGGCAATTTTCAGCCTACACCAGGAAACAAGTCTAGACCCAGAATCCCAACGAAGCATCATATCCTAATATATTTTAAGAAAAAAAGAACGTAGTGTACAGCCGGAATAAAGCCACTAATCTTCGCCTCCCTTGTGGAATAATATTCCTGGGTCGTCCAAGTTTTACTACAGTAGTTTTTATCACCTCATAGGGCAAGATGATGATATGTCACTTTGACTTTCAGATGAGAGGCGACGGTCCTGACAGTCACTTGAACTGTTCCAGTATGTGCTGAACATTATGAGTGATCAGTCATGTCTCGAACCGAGAACAGCGTCTCTTGCAAACAGTCCTGACCCAGTATTTCATAAGATTAAACAATATTATTGCGCCTGGTACTGTTAGACTCTCTGCCAAATGCCCGTGGGTGTAAATAATTAATTTTTTTACTAAGAGCTCTTCTGGTGAAAGCGTCTTCAGCTGCCAGTCTGTCAATCAGCTGGTGAATGAGGTACAGCTCTTAAGGACCAATGCAGTCGTCTACCACATCTGGTCTTCGGTTAAAAATTTTTTGGGGTTAAAAATTTTCACCTGCACTTTGACCTCCGTGGCTCTTTCCCCATCTACTTGGCGGGTAGTGATGCTGCGATCACGTTTAGTTTTAGAAAATATAATATGAAATGTTCCTCTTGGTGACAGAGATCTCGACATGGCTACCACCAAACATGCGTAGAATAAACTTATCAGTTGTTCTAGGTCATGGTAAATAAACCAATGATCTACAATTGTGTACATTTACAGGTTAACCTTTTGCATTTTTATTATGTTGTCCATATGAACTTATCATCTCCGGGTGAATGGACATTTCTTGTTGTTTCCTTTCCTCTATTATATAATCTACCTGGCAGACTGTCTAATACCTGCTTGGCGTCACATTTTAACGTGACATAACCCCAACCCCCAACTAAGGACTATTGGTTCGTGTCGCGTCTGTCTTTGCGTTACCAGTCGGTTAGTGATTTAGATGACCAGGAATAAAACAGGATATAAATATCTTCCTTTCGTTTTTTCTTTCTTTATTGCTTTTTTCATCTTTCTCGGATGTCTGTGTAAAGAGACCAGCACTGCACAGTGCGAGGAATTCCACTACTCTCTGCCCTCTAGGTATACTCTATTAGTCTGTTATAAAATTATTGTATAGATCATACTTTTGTTTTGTTTACTATTCTAGAAGTCCCTGTTATCAGAGGGTAGAAAAACACATTGAAATTCCAATCAGGCGTGTTTCCTTCAGGAAGTAAAAACACAACTAGATTTAATAAAAACTACCGTAAACACTTCTTCAGGCATCTGCATGCTCACTGAGCTGTTGACTAAACTGCCTCTTAACGCTCTTAATGCTACATGTACCTTTACAGTGTGTCTCACTATCACCAGCCTCATTACATGTAGGTTTTCTTGAAATAGTTAAAGGAGAAGACTTTTATCAAAATAAAGTGATTTTCAATGATTGATAATTCTTGTGTAAGTCAAAATGAGGGGTGTTTGAAACAATTCACTCCAGAAGTAGTCATAAATCACAGTCGGGGTCACGATAATTAAAATAAAAGAAATAGGATACACAGTTTTCAGTGAACGGGTGTTTATCCGAAAATCGTGTTCATGTCGATTAAATTTGACTACTTAAAATCTTTACACGTCGCTACATACAGAGGGCTAGGGCTTCTATTGACTATACAAAAGACTCAAGAGATGACTGTGAATATTGCTCATTGGTACCTTAAAATATACCGCTATCGGTCAGTGATATCATTGAAAAAAGGCCTTTACTTATAGATGACACTACAGGTTTTGGTTAAGTTCATCGTTAAGTCACCAACAGTATCATGACCGGGCACAGTATCATGAGGTCACCCTAATCATGGACAAAATTACGAAGGGACGTTATTATGTCCAAGCCCTAATATATACTAAA